CCGTCCTGGCTGGGAGCGGGACCAGGAGGGGATCTGGCCCGTTCCCTGCCGCTCCGAGCCCGGCGCTCCCTCGCACCCCCACTCCCACCCACAGGCTGGCCGGGCCGAGTGCGAGCGCCTCCCGAAAGGGCTCAGCCGGGAAGACCAAAATATGGCAAGGCCGGGACACCCCCCGCCGCGCTCCGGGGCCGGGGGCCTGGGGGGTGGCCTCCTCACGCCAATTACTTAATACGGTTGCCTAGGTGGCAATCAACGGCAGGACTGGGGGGCTGAAAGATAGCCTTCTGCTCGCATGGCCACATCCTTAAATTATCGAGACTTTGGCGTTTAAATATCGGATATTGAACAGCAGTAGCATCTGGTGGCTCTTTTGTTTAGGTGTTAGCGTAGCTGGTATGCCAGAAACAGTGTTTTCTGGTCTGCTTAGCAAGATTATGTAAAAATTGATCGTACTTCTGAATAACACAGGAAGAACGCAAGAAAAGTTCTGCATGTGGGAGGGAATATCTTTAGCCATCTCTCTCATCAAGTGGGAAAACATGTAATGGACCAGTCCATTCCTGTTTTTTTTAAAAAAAGGTATAACGGGTCACTTAGCGATGTGTCCTTTTGGTTTCTCATTGCTTTTGTAGGGCATGGAGTGTCAGGAACTGCCTTATGTACTAATTGACTGTATAGGAGGGAAGCATGGAGTATATGAAGACCACGTTGAGTTTCTGGAGAAACATTTTCATCTCATCACCATGAAAGAATATCTTGAAAACAAGAAATTTCTTGGCAAAAAGATCAGAGCTATTTATATGTGGTATCACAAACCAGTTATTAATGAAGAGCTGCTCCAGAGCTTGCCTAACTTGAAGATAGTTGCGAGCTCTGGAGTGGGAATTGATCACTTGGACCTGAACCTCCTCTCCAGCTACGGTGTGAAAGTGTCCAACACTCCATTTGTTGTTTCCATTGACACTGCAGACTTGGGTATGGCTTTGATGCTGGCATCTTCCAGGAGACTCGTGGAAGGTAATAACTGGAATGGTTTTAGCCTTTTTATAGGAAAGGTGACTCTTCAAAACATGCAGTTAGAAAGTGTTTGCTGATGCAAAGGTAAGCTTAAAAGTAGAAATATAGGAAAATACAGGGAGGAGGAAAAAGTTGAGAAAACTCCATTGTGTTGACAATAACTTACATGCAGCATGTACCGTTTCCAGACAAGCGCATCAGCAAGGCAGATGTGTTCCTTCTTCCAACAGCTCTAAATTCAGGCCTCTTCTCCCTCAGCCCATAGCCACTTACTCATTCTACTTGTTCACTGCAGTCTTGCTTTTCAGGTTTTAATAAAAGGGGGTTAAAAGATATTTTCAAGGAGGCTTGAAACCTGTCTTTGCCAAGCTGACACGTATCTGAGTCATTACGAACAAGCTGTCCATAAATCTGTCCACCGTGCTCTGTGTTTCTTTTCCCTGCCAGCCTTGGTGTATCTGCAGGATAGCTGGGAATCATATTTTGGCCTTACTGAAAGTCTTGATGGTATTACAGCTGCTTCATCGGTTGCACCATTCAGTATTTACAATATAGGTGGCACCCATGGCATTGACAGTTTCGTAAGCCCGGCTGATGAGTAAGAAGTTGTGCTGCTGAGGCGCATTTCAATGGCACAGGTATCTGTGCTGTGGGCAGAGAGAGATGATGGGCAGGTGTGTGATGTACATCAAAGGGAAGTTGCTGCTTTGGCCTTACCTTCCTTGTCTGCCATAGAGGGGCTGGATATGTTTCTATCTTGAGCAAGGAATCAATGTCAGATGTCATGTTGACAGGGCAGCATCATTTGCTTCTTGTCCAGAAACACAGTAACATCATGTTACTGCTCCTCAGCTTCTGCCTTGTCTCCTGATAAAAAGAGGAAAAAAAGTAACCAGATGCTTTTACATGACATTTTTCCTTCCTTTCCTTCCTCCAAGGCTATCAGATGGCAGTCTCTCCCGAAACGGAGTATTTCCCTGCTGACTGGCTGGGGGATGAGGTTTCTGGGACGACCCTGGGGATCGTGGGAATGGGCACCATTGGCTACAAAGTGGCCCAGAGAGCCAAAGCCTTTGAAATGAAGATTTTATACCACAACAGGAATCAGAGGTAAAGCTGGTTGCAGCCCCATGGAAATTTTATTTTCTCACCACTTTTAAACGTTATTTGTACCTTTCACTGTCCAACTGCTCTCCTGTTCTCGCTGTGCTAGGATAGGACGATGTGCTCTCTGCATGGTCGTTATTAAATGTTATGCCAGGAAGCAGCGAGGGCCACAGATCGTGGCCAGGTTCACCCAAAAGTCCAAATCATCAGGCAAGCTCATGGTGATAAGGCAAGGCGGAGGTCAGACCGGGGCTGAGGGGAGCTGGAGACCAGCCCTGCTGCGGCATCGCTGGGGCAGGGGCTGACGGCCCCGGGGGGAGCTGCCATGGGGTCCTGGGGTATGGGGAAGCCCTGGGGGGCCAGGCAGGGACAGCCAGGGTCATGACAATAAGTCACTGCCTTATTATGTGCTCTTTATTTTAAGTGGCAAAGTACATACCCTTGCTTCAAGACAGTCATTAATTTCCTAATTTATACAGAAACAAAGTGAGGAAGGAATGGGAGAGATACATCCTGCTCGTCTTCCCATGAGCCAGGGAAGTTGGTGACATTGCAATAGGCTGAGGAAAGGAGAAGTAGTCTGGGAGGACGTGACTCCTGTGACTGAGGTGCGGCAGGGATGCAGACAGACATCTTGCCCTTTCAGAGCCAGCTAACAATGAAGAGCCGGACTTGCCAACCCATTGGCTGTCTTCTCTGTGAGGTGTATGTGCCCTTCACGTACGCCGTGACTCCCATCAGGCCCGCTGAATCCTTTTCTTTTGTGGGAATCTGATGGGAGCCGGGCAGCACATGCCCCAGCCTTGCCCTGATACGGATTGAACGCACCGGCAGGTCCTGCAGCATGTGGTTTCAGTGAACCAGCACTGATGCACAGAGCAAGCAGACTGCTGCTGACACGTATTTCTGAAGATTTAATCCCTGCCCTGTCTTGTGGGTTTCCTCAGTAAGTTTCAGGTGAGTTAGTTTTCACAAGGATGGGAATTCGTGCCAAACATCAGTCTTGCTTCGGGATTGGAAAAGAATCCCCGTTACAACCAGAAGCTGTGACACAAATCAATTATTCTATTATTAATTCAATGCGTTTATGTGATACTCATTTCTTACTTTCCATCGCCACAGGTATTGTACTGCACATTTGTGTATAGTGTACTTGGTATTGTGGGATACTGCTTAACATTTTTCTTTACTGAGTTTCAGTCTAATAACTGTCTGACTGCTTTGCATTACGGAGCAGAGAAAACAATGAAGAAGCCTTCTCTTTAATGGTGATTTGAACTTTTTCATGTTGCTCACTACTGAAGTTTAATTTTGGGTTTTTCCTCTCAGAAACAAGGAAGAAGAAAGTGCTGTTGGAGCTATTTACTGTAAGAAGATAGATGATTTACTCCAACAGTCAGATTTTGTGTTGCTGTCTGTGAACCTGACTCCACAGACTCACAAACTGATTGGGAAGAGGGAGCTGGAGCTGATGAAACCCACAGCTACTCTCATTAATATCAGCAGAGGTAGGGTGCAGAATAAACAAAACTGCATTATGGTTTGCTGGCATAAACAGTCCTGGGAAAACCCAACCCTAACACAGAGTCTGTCAATCTGAAATTTTCAGTAAATTCTCTGATTACTTGATTATTTAGATATCATATCTCAGCAAAACATTTAAGCATTTCTGTAATTATGAGCAAGTAGGTCTCCAAGATGCTGGTGAGCTTGGAGTGTTAGAAGCCCATGTATATTTGCATAACCTCCTACTTAAGCTTTTTATTTATTTAGTGCAGTGTTGTTGCTAACATACATCAAGGTGGCACAGCCCAGTCCGAAGTCTGGCACTGTACTTTGTTTTATGGTCCTACGTATAGCCTTTTAAAATTCCTGGCTCTGAAGCATGTACCCCAGCTTCCTCCTCCACTTCACCACCCTCTCTCTGCTGCCGCTTCTGCTTTGCGAGCACTGCTAGCCCTGCCATTTGCCTGACCACCATGCCCAAAAGGATGGTGAGAGAATGGCACGGAATATGAAAATAAGAGTATCCTTCTTACTGTCACCCAGGTCTGGTTGTGGATCAGGATGCTTTGGTGGAAGCCCTTCAAAACCAAGTTATTAAGGCAGCTGCTCTGGATGTGACATATCCTGAACCTTTGCCAAGGTAGAACATGCATTTAAATTAAGTATAAATGAGTGTATGTGTGTGGTTCAAACTAAGTATGCATTCGTGAGCGCGTGAGAAGTTACATAATTTTGCTAGCAGGAGCACATGATGAATGTGCACTAGTCCTGCTGAGACGATGTCCCCAATCCTTGCTGAAAAGATGTCCCCAACCCGTGCTGAAACGATGTCCCCAACCCTTGTGTCCTAGCCAAACAAAACTCGCAGTGACTCATTTGGAGGCTTTGCTGCTTAAAAAACCCACAAGCTAGGCAGTAGTTTGAACTCCTCTGAGTACGCCTGGGTTGTGCAATTAGCTTTAATTTTTAATTATTATTTTAGATAATTCCCTGGCTCCTTCAGATGACGAAATAACAGATGAATGCTCTGCAAGTGATTAGCTTAGCATTTCTTTTCATTTCCCAGGGACCACCCCTTGTTAAAGCTGAAGAATGTTATAATAACTCCCCACATTGGAAGTGCCACCAAAAAGACACGCCGCCTTATGATGGAAAACATGACGGAAAGCATACAAGCGGGTCTTACAGGTCTTCCTGTCCCTAATGAAGTGTTACCGTAAAGCAGTTACATTCAGCGTTAATGCCATCAGTGTTTATCTGGGTGTGAGGAAACAGTAATTTGATCACCCTTCACGTAATTATTCCATGTGTGTTATACAGATAAAACATATAATGCAAAAGTGATTTTGTGTGGGAAAACTGCAGTATTTTGTCACAAACTAAAATGAAAAATGCAAGAGTCCATAGTCTTGCACTGGTGTGATTTATTTTGCTCGCATCCTCTTAAAATCACCCATCAGCGTAACACCGAATTGAAGGACATGTAAATCATATGTTAGTGCCACTGACGAACTACGCAGCACAGCGCACCGCAGGCGCTACATCAGGCCGGCTGTTCTTGACGCTTATTTTGGGGGAATAGTTTGCAAGGCCTTTGCTGGGGTAGCCCTTTAATGGAAAAGCAGCAACCACGTTTATTTTCACTTCCAAGATAAG